TATAATGATAGATAGATAGATAGATAGATAGATAGATAGATAGATAGATAGATAGATAGATAGATAGTGTATGCACATTGATGCCGGGAGCCACACAGAGGCTCAAATCCTTCTCGATGTATTGGTGGAGTGTCCTACAATGGCCAAGCTCTGACCTCAGCCCGATTCAGATTTTGAGGTGCTATTTAAATATTTTGTCACTTTAACACCCTCAGAATTTCTTGGGTAACAAATAGTTTCCATTTTAAGTAAAATTCTGCCTAAGAGCAGACAGCACACAGTACCTGCTATGACTGTTCCATGACTATCCACCAGAAAAGCCTCTTCTGCACCCCTCCCTGATCCTAGCCCACAGTCACAGACCCACACCAATAGATTACAAGGATGGAGGGTGGACGGAGGACTGGACATTTTAGGGGATAATATAATACACTGAAATCCCGGAGGCTCAGCGTGGGCTTCGACAATGCAGGGATACTTTTAACCAGAGTCATCATTCTGATCCCTCACACTTCAATGTGACTTGAGTAAATGAGACATGCCTTACTTTGTCTTTTTCTACAAAGTCGATGTAGGACGTCCTCTCGATCTCCACCGGCTGCCCTTGACGGTCATAAAGTGCAAGAACAAAATGGAAAAAGTTGGATTTTCTGAGGTTGGATGGTGGTTGCTTCTCGAAGTGGGCCCTCGATAGTCCGATCCCGCTGTGGGAAAGACATGGAGCAGAGTCAGAGACAAGGACACCAGGTGAGGATCAACAAGGAGGAGAGTCAGAGACAAGGATAACAGGTGAGGACCAACAAGTAGCAGAGTCAGAGACAAGGACAGCAGGTGTGGACCAACATGGAGCAGAGACATGAACACCAAGGACCAACATGGTCCAGAGTCGGAGACAAGGACAGCAGGTTGGGACCAACATGGAACAGAGTCATAGATATGCACACCAGGTAAGGACCAACATGAAGCATCAGAGTCAGAGACAAGGACACCAGAGATAAGGACACCAGGTAAAGTTCAACATGGAACACAGTCAGTCAGAGACATGGACACCATGGAGTCAGAGACATGGACACCAGGTGAGCAGAGTCAGAGACATGGACACCAGGTGAGCAGAGTCAGAGATGTGGACACCAGGTGAGCAGTCTGAAATCCCGGAGGCTCAGCGTGGGCTTCGACAATGCAGGGATACTTTTAACCAGAGTCATCATTCTGATCCCTCACACTTCAATGTGACTTGAGTAAATGAGACATGCCTTACTTTGTCTTTTTCTACAAAGTCGATGTAGGACGTCCTCTCGATCTCCACCGGCTGCCCTTGACGGTCATAAAGTGCAAGAACAAAATGGAAAAAGTTGGATTTTCTGAGGTTGGATGGTGGTTGCTTCTCGAAGTGGGCCCTCGATAGTCCGATCCCGCTGTGGGAAAGACATGGAGCAGAGTCAGAGACAAGGACACCAGGTGAGGATCAACAAGGAGGAGAGTCAGAGACAAGGATAACAGGTGAGGACCAACAAGTAGCAGAGTCAGAGACAAGGACAGCAGGTGTGGACCAACATGGAGCAGAGACATGAACACCAAGGACCAACATGGTCCAGAGTCGGAGACAAGGACAGCAGGTTGGGACCAACATGGAACAGAGTCATAGATATGCACACCAGGTAAGGACCAACATGAAGCATCAGAGTCAGAGACAAGGACACCAGAGATAAGGACACCAGGTAAAGTTCAACATGGAACACAGTCAGTCAGAGACATGGACACCATGGAGTCAGAGACATGGACACCAGGTGAGCAGAGTCAGAGACATGGACACCAGGTGAGCAGAGTCAGAGACATGGACACCAGGTGAGCAGAGTCAGAGACATGGACACCAGGTGAGGTCCAACATTTTCATTTTATTGAAAGCTCTTTATCTTTAAAGTGCTTTTATTGCTCTATACGTTTGTGTATAATCCTCAGCTGTGAGGTTCCTCAATAGACGACATCATTGGCTTCCTATAGGTTATATAGCTAGTAATAAGCACGCTTGAATGAGAACGGACGCTTCTGTCCATGAGATGTAGAACTATTGACATGGAAACATAAATAATACCGAGTTACGTGTAAATGTGATCTAACTGTGAACAGTGTGAAAGGGCTGACGTCATTCCTGACCGTCACCAGCGTGTAAGCCGTACTCCCCGCACATCTGTCTGGGTGTTTCCACAAAGAGCTACAATTACCCATCCAAATGAAATCAACATGTTATTAAACTATGAGCAAGCTACACCCTCTTCTTCCACTGACAGAGGAGCAGCAAGAAGCATTCTGATCCAGCTGAACTGGGGTCCCGGGTTCAGTTCCCACAAGGACGCTATCTGCTCAGAGTTAGAAAAGAGGAAGGAAACCCTCTTACACAAAATACAAATCAATACATAACTTCTATTCTGACCAAACTGACTCCGGAGAGTATGTGATGGGCTCAGTGTTCTCTGTACAGCACTGCAGTATATGTCAGAGCTATATAAATGTATAATAATAGAGTTAAACCCCCTGACAGTCTCCTCTATTCCACAGGGACTCTAAAGGTGAGCTCTCATGTTTGTACGCCTGCTGTGGTCATTATGAGAGGTTCCCAGGTCTGCACACCTGATACACCCTTAATAAGGGGTTCCCACCATCCCTGCACTGAGTTACCGGGTCTGTACAGCGCTGTGCCTATTATGTGGAGTTCCCACCAGCCACCACCCCTGTAGGATTTTATTTATTTTATATTATGGAGAATTTACCAGGATGATCGGGATACCCAAAGGTGGGGGAGAAACACCCAAAACTTCCAGGTGTACAGAAGCCGAGTCAGGAATTATGGTAAGCAGATCTCACTGTTGAAGAGGCCCGGATTTACTCTCTCTGCTGCCTCAAGGCCAGGTCCTCAATGCGCCCTCATACACCTGCGAAACCCCCCCCCCCCCCCCCCCCCCACGGAAAAAAACAGACCGCACCT